CCCACCACCTTGCCATTCCACTCCACAGTGCTCTCCCAGGAACGGTCCAGCCTGCTGCCAGTCCCCTGCCTCCGTCCTGCAGCACGCACCCTGCAGAGTGACTCACAAGCCAGATTTGGGGGTTCAGACTTGCTTGATTTGCTTCTCTGTGGGGCTTCAAGGTGGCTCTGGGGTGCCTGCCTACCTGGTCCTCCGAGGGAAGAGTTCCTGCATCCCACCTGCCCCTGCCCCTGCCCCGCAGGCCTCCTGGCTGAGGGGCATGCCCACCACAGCCAGGCTCACCTGGCCTCCTGAGCTTTTCAGTCCCAGTTCTCCTCAGCAGGCTTCCTGGCGTGTGGCTTGTGACATGTATGCTGGACTGCCTCTGCTTCCATCTAAGATGTCATACTCTGTTGACAAGCCCCGCCCCCACTTCTTTTTGTCTTAAAATAGAACCCACCCCAGTCAGGGTCACTAAGCCCCATGCCGGGACACAGGTCTTAATGAACTGGAAAGTCTGTGCTGGAGGACTGCTCCCTGGAGCTCCATCCAGCCCAAGAGGGCAGGCGGCGGCCGGGCGGCCCTCCCACCCGCCCGCCTCACCTGGCTGACAACGTAGGCAGAGGCTGCCCCACAGCCCCGTGACAGCCAGCCTGGGAGCCTTGTCGATGCTCAGCCTACAGACTTGATGGAAAAAATGAAGAGAACCAAAGGGCAGCAACCCCCACACTCCMGGCCCAGGCTGGGCAAGGGCCAAGGTCACAGGGGACATGGGGGTCTCCCCTGGTGTTACACGGCGTGGGTTAGACAAGTGCACCATGGCAGCCATCGTGCAAACTTGGTGCTCTGTCTGTCTGTCCTGCCCATCCCAGCCCCTGGCAACCGCTGGTCTTTGACTACCGTTTTGCTTTTTCCAGAATGTCACTTAGGGAATCCCAAGTGGAGCCCTCCAGACTGCCCTCTCCCGCTCAGCAACATGCCTGTGACCTTCCTCTGTGCCTGTTGGTGGCTTCATGGCCATCTCCCCTTAATGCTGAAAAGGATTCCCACACATGGCTGTGCCACCGTTTGTTTACCCACTTACCGCAGGTCGGCGGGTGGTGTCCGAGCGGGGGCCATTGTGAATAAACATTAATCGGCAGGCTTCTGTGGGCTCAGAAGCCTTCAGATCAGCTGGGTCGAGTATCCAGGAGCAGGACGGAGCCCCCTAAACCTGGGAGAAGCTCCAAGCCGTCTCCCAGGGTGGCCGCACCATGTGCCTGCCGCTCCGCGTCCCCGCCAGTGCTCGGGCGCTCAGTGTCCTGGACCTGTCACCCTAACAAGGCGTAGGGCATCTCACTGCTGCTCCAATTACCATTCTCCAAACACCTGTCACCGAGCAGCTCTTGATATGCTCCTTCCCCATCCCTACAACCACTTCCATGAGGTGTCTGTTCAGGTCTCAAGCCCATTTTTAAATGGGGCTTCTCGTTTTCTTACTGTTGGGATTGAACGTTCCTGGTATAGTTTACGTAGCGGTTCTCTATTGCTCAAGCCTTTTGCAATTATTTCCTCCCAGTCCTTGGCTACTTCTTGTTTTCTTGCTGCTTTTGGTTTTTATGATCTCTGCATTATCTATAGTTTTGCCTTCCTCTTAATTTTTTTCCCCTTGGGAACTGTCTGTTATTCAGCAAACATTTATCTGACTCCAACAGTAGATGGGTGCTGGTTCTGAGCGCCAGAGGCAGCCAACCTGAGGAACAGGCCCAGTTTCCTGCCCACCTGAGGGTTACGCTGCTGGTCTTTTCTAAAATGCAACTTCTGCTCTGGCCAGTCTTTTCCATTATTTATGTTTTATTTACAATCCAATGGCATCTGTTTCTGTATCGTTATTTGAATCAAATCATCTTATTTTTTAACCTGTTCCCCAGGGGTCCACTGCTTTCTGCAGAAGCCCTGATGCGGCTACACTTGTGGACAGGCCAGCACACTTCCTGGTGGCTCGGGGGTTTGCTCACCTGTGCAGGCTGTGCCACACCTAGGCAGGCCAYGCCAGGGAGGTTCTCTGAGCATCGGAAGCACTTTCCCTGTCCTGGCCGATGCTTTCCAAGTGGGGTCTGGAGGWCGCGTGTGTTTTCAGTCACACTGTCTTCTGGTCAGTGTCCCTTATATTTCTTTTCCTTCAAAAATCTTTTGTTGTGTCTCTTTTCAACAGTATGCCCTATTTTATTGGTTTTCAAAACTATATAACATACTCTTTTGAACAGGTAATCAACATTTCCTATGTGACCATACTTTTCCTTGCTCTTTTCTACTCCCTGTCCTCTCAGTTTTGACATTCTCTTCCTTTCTCTTCTCTTGGCAGTAATACACCATTTCTGTCATTTAAAAAGTTATCTTTAAATTATTGTATCATTTCTTAAACTTCTACTGACTTTCCACAGTAAACCAGAGGAGTAGGTCTTCCTCTCTCTGTGAGACACTATGGGTTGGAGACAGGGGTAAGTTATCTGGTAGCAGTGACTGAAAAATCCCACTTCCAAAAATCCATAAGAGAAAGTATTCAAATGTAGCTATTTGTCACGGTCACATTTGCAACAGTAAAAAAAAAAAAATCCACTTGATGCATAAGGGAATAAACAAATTATGCTAATCCATGCAGCTGAATATCATGCAGTCATTAAAATCATGTTTTTGAGGAATTTTAATGATAGGAGATGCTTCTGATGTTAACATAACAAGATGTCCTGCACGGTTTCTGTCTGGGCTGCAGCCAGAGGAAAGGAGGAAGGGGASGCGATGCCTCAAGGCGGCTGCAAGAGGCCAGGCGTGCGTCTGAGCAGGGGGAGGGCRGAGAACCAACCTGCCCACAGATTGACCAAGTCCAACCACTGCAAGTGCTGGAGAGGTGAGAGGCCCCCAGATCCTACCCTGCTGTTGGAACCTGACCAGGAGAAACTGCTTTGCCAGAGGGTCTCCATCCCCGAGCACAGCGGGTCCCCCAACATGGCTCGGCAGTCCCACTTCGGGTGAAGAGCATCCTGACCCTGGCACATGCCTGCCTGTAGGAGATGTGCACACCAGTGTTCAGAGCAGCGTTATTTAGTTGCCACAACCAGAAAAAGGCTGTGTCCTCTGACAGCAAAATGCATAAACCATCCCACACTCACATGATGCAGAACCTCGCAGCAATAGCAAAGAAAACACAATGTCACCAGAAGGGTTGGGCAGAAAAGGTGTTCATGAAACAGCTTGTGCTGTGCGATTCCCCTGGCACTACATTTAAAGGCAGGCAACACTGAACTGTGGTTGGAAGTCAGGCTGGTGCTTTGGGGAAGAGAGCAGGGGCTACGGGATCTAAGGTGTTCTGTCTCAAGTTACGTGGGCGTCTGCCTTGGGATAATCCACAAAGTGCTGAATCTGGGTCATGTCCTCTTCTGATATATTTGCAACAAATTTGGGGGAAAAAACACAGCCAAAAGGAGGGTATATTGGCATTTCATTGCTACATAACAAATGATCACAAACACAGTCCTGGACCTCACAGTTGCTAATTGATGGAGCCGGACATCTTGTCGTGCGTTTTTCCCGTTTAACTGTTAGTATTGTAAACATGCTATTCATCATTTGGGGTTTTTTTTTTGTTGTTGTTGTTGTTTGTTTGTTTTTTGTAAACCGCCCATTTTCTGTGCCCATTTTTATTCATTTCCAATAGCTGTACCTACTAAGGAATTCAAAGGTCTCACCTCAGTTGCAAATGTCTGTCCAGACAGTGGTTTACCAGGAACCTGTTTACGGAGGYTCTCTGGTGTCCTTGCAGTTGCTCCTATAGTGCACCTACAGATATTTATTGGCAATGTTATACACTGTTTTTGCCACTGGCATCATGTTTAGAGAGCCTTTGCCATGCCCAGTTATAATAGTTGCCTACTTTGACTATTTTGGTGGGGACTTAGATTTTATACTTAAATCACTTTGTATAGAATTTACTAGGGGATGTGATTGATTTTCCCTAAAATAATAACCAGTGTACGTGCACAGGTTCACTGCTGGGCTCTCCCTTCTGTCCCGTGAGGCGATGTGGGACTCTGTGCCATGTTGTGTGGTACCCTGCTATTTAAACTGCAACAGCTCTAAAGTACAGTTTGGAATCAGGCAGTGTGACCTTCCTGGCTCTGTTCTTTTGTTCATGACTGCCTTGACTACCTGGGGTTTTCTGTTCTGCATGAATTTTGGGATTTTTTTCTATCTCAATGAAAAACAAAATTGGCATTTTGATTGCATTGATTCTACGGATCACTTTGAGTGGAATGGATATCTTAACAATTGTCGTTTGTCCAATCCATGAACATGGGATGTCTTTCCATTTATTTTTGCCTTCTTCAATTTCTTTCAGCAATGCTTTATAGTTTTCAGTTAACAGATCCTTTACCTTTGTGGTTAGATTTATTGCAACTTTATTTTTGCAGCTGGTGTAAATGGGATCGTATGGAAAATGTTACTGATTTTTCAGTATGATTTTGTATTCTATGACTGAATTCATTTATCAGTTTTAATTCTGTGTGTGTGTGCTGTTTGTATAACCTGTCATGTTGTTGGCAAAAAGGGACAATTTAACTTCTGCCTTCCCCATGTGGATGCCTTTCATGTTTTCCCTTGCTTGACTGCTCTAGAGAGAACTTGCAGTGTCATGTCAAGTACAGTGGTCAAAGTGGGCGTCCTGTCCTGTCCCTGGCCTCAGAGAAAAGGGTTCCAACTTTCCACACTGAGCACACCGTTGGCTGTGGGCGTCTCACAGGGCCTTTGCTGCGCGAGGTACATTCATTCAATAGCATGTACTTTGATTCAATTTTTCATCATATAGTGAATTTTGTCAAATGACATGTTCATGTGGGGTCTGTCCTCCGTTCCATTAACTAATGGGGTGCATATTCACTGACATGCCTGTGGTGAATCATCCTCCCATCCCAGGAAGAGATCCTGCTTGATCATGAGCCCTTGAATGTGCTGTGCTTTTTTTTTTTTTTTTTGTCTTGCTAGTATTTTGATGAGGATTTTTGCATTTTTGCTCATCAAGGATACTGGCTTTTGATTTATTCTCTTGTAATGTCCTTATCCAGTTTTGGTATCAGGGTAATTTAATGTTGGCCTGGTTAAAAAAAAAAGCTTGGAAGCCTTCCCTCTTCTTTGACTTTTTGGAAGAGTTTGAGGATTGGTGTTAGTGTCAGTTCTTTTTGGTGAAGCCACCTGGTTCTGGACTCTTCTTGGATGGGAGACTTTCTAATCAGCCTTAATTGCGGTGGCCTGAAGGTTCAGTCACGGAGGTGGCTTCGTGTACTCACTCTGCCATCTCTGGAGGAGGACCTCCCAACCAGGGGCTGCAGGATGGGTCTGAAGAGGCCTCCAGGCTGAATAGGGCAGATCTGAGCAAATGGCCCTCTGGGGCTCAGTGCTTCCCTGGAGGGAGTCCAGAGCTGGGGATGAGAGGGCAGCCTGTGCGGGCAGCAGAGGCCCGAGGGAAGGGTACACCTCAGTTGTCTGCCTTGAGGAAGCTCCCCTGAACCCCAGGCTGAGAGCTGACCTGCTGGGGCGAGGGACTGGCACCCAGCTGCAGCCCAGGGTGGGCGGCACCTGGAGGCTTGACTCTGAGCAGCCTGAGATGGCCTTTCTGCAGCTCGTCCCCATGTCCTAAAGGGAGTCGGTCTGCTCAGCCCAATCAACTTGCTCAGCCCAATCAACTTGCCCTCTCCCCAGTCGTCCTTCTGTAACCCACATCACTCAGACAACTTAGGACTCTCCCCTCCCAACAAGGCTGCCCTGGCCAGGGTCTGGCTGCCCCAGGGTTACCTCTGGCCCTTCACAAACAACAGCAGAGCCAGCAGGCCAGGTCTCATCTGTGGGTCAGTCTCTGTTCTGTAGACCACATGGGCCCCACCAGGTCTAGGCCTGTGGCCCACCCTCAGCTTGGCCCACTTGGTCACAGGGTGAAGGAATAAGAATCACCAGCCCACCCAYGAGGGCAGGACCACAGCCCATGCCCAGGCAGCAAGCAGCAAGAGATGGCAGAAAGCCAAGTGCTTCTGTGGGAGGATCCCAAATGTGGGGGGTGCAGACATGGGTACCCAGAGAGGCGTGGGGGCCTCAAGGACTCCTAAGAAACCGGGGCTCATCAGGGCTGTTTCAGTGATGCAGGGAGGGGCAGGGTGTGTGTGTATGCCCAGGGAGTTCCCAGGTTGGGAGGGATGGCCAGATCCTGTAGTGCCCACTAGCAGACCTTTCACAAAGCCCAAGGGGCTGGCCTGGACCCTGACACTGTACTAGCTCCTGTCCCCCAGCAGTGCAGAGAGTCCTGCTACACCACCTTTCAAGTGTACATTCCTCCCCCAAGGTCTCATGGGTGTCACCGAGTTCACAGAGCTCATGGGCCCAACATGGGTCCTGGCATCAAAGCATAGTGCTAGGTCAGGGCCCCTACTGGAAAAGCGAGTCCTCAAATCCCAGGCTGTGCCATAGGCTGCACTTGGCATCTTTATTCCTTGTTTCAAGCACAGCACATTCCAGACACCCCGGAACAGTTCAGCACACCTGCTCAGCATCAGGACTATCACCAGGCCCCTCACACCCAGCGTTTCATACATGAAATACAGACAGGACAGAATTTGACTTCAAGCACCCTTCCCCTTTGAAAAATAACCTGCCACGAAAGGCAGGTTTTTTGTGTGCCCAGCTCTCTGGTTGTGCAGAGCTCTGTGCTACAGAAGGGGAAAGTGCAGGGTGGGTTCTGGCTGAGTAAGATGGGCTCCCCACAGCCACAGGGATGGTTCTTCCTGTAACTGGACAGCCCTCCCCTGCCCCTGCAAGAGGAGCAGGTAGAAGAGGCCCCTTGAAGCTGGCCTGGGAGGACCCTGATCCTGTGGAAATGGCCTCCATCAGGTCCAGGACTAACTGGCCCCTCAGCTCAGTACTGTGTGCTAATTTCCAAGATGATTTTAACAGAAGCAGGAAGATACGCACGTCACACGTCTGGATTCCCACAGCCTCTAGGCAGTGGCCAGGCACATAGGCAGGGGCACTGCTGCCCCTAAAGGAGGGACAGGTCTGAGAAGTAGGCAATCACGGGTTGCTGAGGGTAGGGCCCTGTCCTGGCTCAGGGTGAGGGAGGCTGAGGCTGCCCCCTCCCCGTGGCTCAGTGCCCCAGGGGGTGTCCTTGTCACCTGGAGGATGTGTGGAGGCAAGTCCTGAGAGCGTGGTGCAGCAGACAGCCCCAGCAGAGCCCAGGAGCGGTCAGCACAGCGAGCAGTCAAGCCCACTCACCGCAGACCAGGGAAGCACAGCAGAGCTGCTGGGAGCCCAGGAGACCCTGAGAAGCTCCGCCCACTAAGCCCAGGCAGCTTGGAAGAGGGCCCCACGCAAGGCCTGGGTTACAGGCCAGTTTGTCCTGCTCTGAGAAGAGACCCCACCCCCAGGGGCTACTGGACAGGGACATCACAGGATCGGGGACGGTGGGGGGGGGGCGTCTCTTTTGAAGATTAAACACGAAAAGTAAGGCAATTGAGAGAGGCCTCGCTCTGCCCCACGGCCCCCCCGGGGTTCCAATGCCTGACATCAGCTTCCAGCCAAGCTCAAACCAAGAAAGGAAACACCCCAGGGTGAAGGGCTGCAGCCCAGACACGGCTGGCTGTCAGAGGCTCTGTGCTCGCAGAGATCCAGCTGACGCAAGGTCCTGCTCAGCATCTTGTCCATATTTTATTCTCTTTCACTCAACAGAATAGAACTTTTGCATCATGAAGCAGGTCTGAGATGGCTGCCCCTTCCTCCGCCTGGCTCCTGGACAGCAGGCCTAAGAGGGTGCCTCTTGGCTGCCAGGTTGGGGTTCCAGGGTGGACGTTTGGCAAGGACACTCCAGGGACAGGGTGAGGGGGACTCCTGACCCATCTTTGGCCCCTAAAGCGGGGACCCTCCCTTAGCTCTCTTTGGTATCTCATAAAACTGGGGCTGCCCCACCCCTCAGCCCTAGACGCCTGGGCCCACCCTGGCAAGTCGCCTGTAGGAGGGGCTGCTCCCCAAGGCAGTGCTTGGCCAGCGCCTGCTCAAAGGGGCCTTCAGCTGGCCGGGCAAGGAGAGGACGCTGCCCGCACAGTGAGGCCACTGTCACTGGCGCGAGGCTCACTTCTTGTAGTGATTGGGAGCATCTGCAAAGACGAACTTGAGGCGGTAGGCCTCAGCCAGCAGTAGGCTCATGTCCTCGTCACCCCAGCAGGCGGTGGGCAGGTTCTGGAGGAAGAGAAGCAGCTCCTGTGGGGAGAGACAGGCAGGTCAGAGGAGGGCGGCAGGGGCTGCAGGTCAGGGCCCGAGCAAGGGCAGCCACCAGTGGCTGCAAGGTGGGCAYAGGGAACTGCAGAAGCCTCCCATCCACACCCACCCTCCACGCCCRCAGTCCTCTCCTGCTCACTCGCAGCTTGTCCTGCAAGAGGCTGCTGAGCTGCACCTGCCCACTCTTCACAGCAGCGGGCCATTGACCTAATCCCACAAAGCCCCAGGGAGGCAGACATCGGCACGCCCAGGGGCACACTGTGTTCCAGAGGCCTGGGGGCAGGTGAGCGTCTGAGAGGTAGCGCTCAGGCAGAACTGGAGCACACATGCGCAGGGACCACAGGGTGGAGCCAGGAGCATGACAGGACCACCCGGCCCTCCCCTCCACAGCTGCCCTGTGCAAAAGAAAGTGAATCAGGTGTGTGGAGGCACCGGGTGTCAGCAAGGCCAGCTGCATCCCCAGGTCCAGCTGAGCCGCTTAGACAGTGCCACCTCTGAGCCCTGCTAGCTCCTCTGTGCAGACAGGGACCACACGTAYGGGCCACTGCAGCACCTCAGCACCAGGCATGCACATGCGGGGCACACACGGGGCACACAAGGGCACACACATGGGCACACTGCACACTCAGCAGTGCCTGTCACTGCCCCTCATTTGGTCCTTCTGGCTTCCAGGAAGCAGGAGCTCTGCTCTGAGTCCCCCATATTGGAGCCCCTTCTGCTAGCCTCACACTCCAGGCCAGCAGTGAGCCATGTCTCAGCCTGGACAAGCTGTGGAGATAGTCACACAACCACAGGACACAAAGGAAATGTCTCCAGAGCTCAGAGTTTAGAGGCCAGGATGCAGACACTGGTGACAGACACGGTGACCTCCTAACCAGAACTATGGCTGAGACTCAGCCCACCCCCACCATGCACCCACAGCGCAGCCCCTCCTGCAGCCCACAGCCCACGTCCAGAGCATCTGTGACCTCACTAAGGACACGCTGGATTTCAAGGGACTGTGATACCTAGTATGGCTCGGCAGGAGTGGGGCTCCGAGGGCTGTGTAGCCAGGTCAGCTTCCTGGACTGGGGTCTCAAAAGAGGTCCAGGCCAGGCTCCTCCCCGTGAGGCCAGGAGGACTTCCAGAGGGAGGTACTCCACTGTCTGATGGCCCTGCTGAACCCGGTCCTAGAGAGTGTCCACCCGAGGCCCTTGGGGCCACCTGCTCCTCCCCAGCCCAAACAGAAGCAGGATGGAAGTGAGGAAGACAGTGAGGCGCCATGGTGCTGGCACAGCCCCTTCCCAGCTCCTGGCAGGTGACAAATGACAAAGGGGGCAGCTGGTTCAGGCTGCCAACACCATCTGTCAATAAAAGGTTCAGCCCAGCGAGGCTCATGCCCAACCTGAGGTAGCCTCTGGGGCCCTGCAAGGTTGGCACAGGGCAGATGCTGCAGCCACTGGCTGGCCCGGAAGTGCACCCCCTGCCTTCTGTGTGGTCCCCGTCAACGGTATGTGCCCCAGACCCTTGTTCTCCTTTAGAAGTGAGGCTGGCGCTATCTCTTCACGGGCAAGATCAAGACAAGCCGAGCTGTCCTGGTGCAGGGCCTGGCACAGTCCCAGCTGCCCTTGTGACCACCCACCACTGGCCCCAYCCTGGGTGAAGTAGGGCCCTGGCTGTCCCTGAGCAGTCTCACACCATGAGGGCTACATGCTAGGACACTCTTCTAATTGTCGTTTTGCTATGGCTGGGTGCCAATTCCCCCCATTTCCTTTGCATTTTGGATACTTTCTATGGGCCTTTAAATTGAATTCACAGAGCAAATTTCACCGGCAATATGTCCTCAGGGACACATCAACATCAATCTGCTGTCTTTCACCATTAGATGCAACTTACACGGATGCCAATCCGATTCCGAGCAGGTCATAAATAAATACCTTTGGTTTTATTTTTAATCCACTTCGCTCCGTATTATCATGACCTCGCTACTCGCAAGGTGAGAAGCAGTGCCCTCCCATCACGGCGGCTTACCCACTCCACTGCACACTCAATTTCAGAATCTAATTTAGTCCCCCAGGTTCGCTGGATGGAGGGAGAATAGAAACGCCCGGTTCCTCACGGCCTGTGATGCTAAGGAAGGAAAAATCTATCCGGGTGACCTTTACAGCAGGCAGAGAACACAAACACACCCTTAAATACAGATCTCCTTTAAAAGGCTTGTCTTATTTATGCGCCAGGCAGCGGCATCTCCAATCTGGGTAACATGGCACATTTATTAGCCCTGCGCTATTCTGCATTACCCACCTCATGCAGGTAGCGGGTCCATAACTCACAGAGCCACTGCCTGCGCATGTGACGAGGCTGCAGCTCGCCCTGGACCACCCTGTGGGGAATCCTCCAGGGGCCTGGTCCAAAGACTGCAGGTGGCACTTTCCSGTCAATTCTTCTCCATAATCAACACCGACCCCCTTGGTGGCTGTCAATGTTCAGGGAAGGCTTTGCTCCCACCTGTGATGCTGAAGGAAAACAAGGCAGGCCAGCCCTGCAGCCGCTTCCCAGCCTGTCTGTGTCCGAGGGACTTGGTAAAGAGCAAATGATGTTTACGGCTTTGGCTCTTTGCTGCCAAAAGGATTTTATTTGTCCAGAGTCAAACTCGTCACAGCGCCATCTACACCATGTGATCACCTCGGCACACAGGCCCTTTCAGGAAGGACAACGTGGTGACGCGGGTTCTGTAAGCACGGGCAGCGGCAGGATGGGCGGAGATCACAGATGAGACACCAGTGGGCACCACCCAAGCCCCAGCTCCACACCAGACAGCTCCCCACAGTCACGGCCTCCGTGAGCTCACCTGTTGCAGAGGACACGCTTCCTCCACTGTATCGACAGGCCCCTGTGTCCCTATGCCGCCCAAATGGCATGAGGCGCTGGGTGGAGGTCAGCGAACATCACAGAAAGGTGAACATAGTGCCCTAGGTACCACCAAGGGCCAACTGGGCACCCACTGGCTGGTGCACAAGGACCAGGATGCAAACCCACCCTGCACAAGCCACACGCCCTGGGCAGGTCCCTCACTGGCTGTGCCTCAGTTGGTTACCTGTAAAAGGGGTGACGAGAGCCCCCCTTGGGCTGCGCAATGGGGCTCCTATCATGAAATCAGCACGTGACCACTAGTGGTGCATGCGCCACCGTGGCAGGCAGGAGCCATGGCAGCTGCAAGCTTCCAACCAACCACCGTCCACAGAGGATGCCGAGCCACCCAGCAAACAGGGTCTCACTGTGCAGAGCACTGAGGAGGCAGGGACAGCATCCTGCTCTCCCACAGAAGCGCCTGGACATGGCAGGGAGGAGGCAAATGTCTGGGGGAGGAGACGCCATTACAGGTGGTGACTGGGCTGGGGCTGCCACACTGCCCATGCACCCACACTGCACCTGTAACTCCTGGGAGGACACACTAAGAGATGTGGAGGACAGTGTCCTTTGACCCCTTTGGACTAGACCTTCAAATTCCAACCTCAGATGCTAAATAAGCCATATTAACTTTAAAATATTCCCAAATAACTGACTTGGGCATCACTTGCTGAGCACATAAAACAAGAGGCCCACCCTCATCCTCCCCGCACAGCGCGGGGATAACCCATGCCAGCTGTCAGGGCAGGGTGTGCATGGCCCAGGGGCACAGGATCAGTCCATGGGAGGCCTGATACCCCCACAGCCTGTGRTGTGCCCTCGTGTGCAACAACCCCCACAACCCTTCCGTGTGGATGAGTGACCCGGGCCACCTGGAAGGGGACACTGCCCACTAGGCCTATAGGTCTAGGCACACACCCCTTCCTACACTGAAGTTAAAAGGTCCCCTTCCTGTAAAAACTGTGACCATGTGGCCCTGGGCCAAGAGGAAGCTGACCTTCCCACTGAAGGAGAGGTGTTCTCAGGACACCCAGTCCCCATGACTGAGACCTTCTGGGACTCCAGGTAAGACACATGGGAACAGCAACAGAAAAGGGGATCAGAGGGTAGAGATTCAGTCCCTGGGGCGTGCCCAGGCCTCACTGTGGTTGAGTGCAGGAGGCCAAAGGCCAGTGCCAGTCCTCAGGTGGAACCATAGGCAGGGCCCAGCACTGCACCTTCCAGAGGGACCCCACGTGAGGGCTGAACAGAGACACCACTCCAAGTTTTGGCAGCTGCGAGATCCTCCAGGGACAGGTACTGGCACAACACAGAGCTACCGGGCAGCCAGCCGTGTCGGTCACAAAGGGGCTTCCAGTGCCACAGTCGGCCAGGCTCCGCACAGGCTCTCAGGCACAGGAAGCAACTCTGGCTCTGCTCCCCAGGGAGCACCTGTGGACAGGAGCATGCCATGGAYACCGCAGCATGCTGCCTCTCCTGTGGCCACACAGACCCACAGGCCTGCACCTGCACAAAACACTCGAAATCACCAAGAGCTGAAGGGTAGTTACTGCCCATCATGGCCGGGGGGAACGTGGGGATTTTCTTTCATGAGCCCACATTCTGATCTTTTAAAAGTACACACACATTTGTTCACTAGAAATGATTAGAGAGAGAAGCAGAGGGCCTGCTCTGAGTCAGAGGTGGCCTGGCTCTGGTGCAGCCAGGGGTGTCCAGCCCAGGAAACTCCTGCAATAGTCTCYGCCCAGTCACGGGGCAGTAATAGTGGAACAGAGAGGAAGTCGTGGCATGGGAGTCGCTGCTGGGCAGGTGGACTGGCTCCACTCCAGCCCAGCCCCATCCTTCAGCAAACAGGGTGCAAGGCCCAGGCCCTCTGTGCCAGACCTTCTTCATACAGAGTGTGGGTTTGCGACTCACTGGGTGGCCRCTCAGATGGAGGCCACCTGTGTCCAACACACGGTGTAGCAGTTAGGCAGCGCTGCCTGCAGGAGAAATCGACAGGAAGAACAGACAGTTCCTAGTGCCTGRGGCAAAACCAAGTGTGGGGCTGGCTGGCCACAGGGTGCTCGGCCTCCAGGTCTCTGGCCATGGCC